AGTGGCACACATGTGAGTGTGAGTTTGAGTGTGGCCATGCGCAAGGACATGCCACAACTTGCTGTTGCATAATGCATTAAGTGCTGGTGGGCGAAATATCCTGGATGGCAGCGGGAGTTGCTCTGCTGAGTTATTGACTTGAAGTTTGTTGCGGAATTTCCAAGTGCAACGTGTGTAAGGCATAACAAATTAGGCGCGCCTGGCAGCAGAATGTTGCAGCATTGCAAATGGGGCGAACGGGCGTAGGGGTAGGTAATCTGAGAGCTGTGGCACATCCAAATAATGGCAGGTGAGAGGACACTGCACTCGAAACAGATTTCGGTGATGCCTTAAGGCAATGAGGGATTTATGCAGTCTTAAAGTGCTTCAGGGCCCATGCACAAGATGTTGACAAATTTAATAAAAGCTAAGACATGTGTGTGGGCCTTAAATCAAAGACTTTCCTTAAGCAACGGTCCCTGCTTGGGCGCCACTTCTTAGTTTAGCTTAGCTGTACCAAATCAATGGGAAGTATCGGGGCAATACACCTTTACAAATTCCACAGCTCTCATCAAAACTTCTCACCAATTACCGAAAAAATCACTTTTTTGTCCTATTGACTCAATGACAACCGCAAAGTTTTCACTCTTTTCTATACGTTTCCTGTCCCTATTTTACTTCGCCTGTCATTTATTACGAGCAACTATTGACGATTCTTCTTTTCCTTTGGTTCCTCTTATTGGTGTGCGCTCTATTTCCCATTTTCTGAAGAAGTTTTATTTAAATTGGATTTACTTCTTTTTTGGTTTATTTTGTACATTAAGTTGCTTCTGCCATTCATTTCTTCTGCTCGGCTGCTTATTATTATTATCGATTTCAATGCCGACCAGCAATTTTTCATGCCAAATTGGAGGAGCAAAGGCGATGGCAGAAAAAATAGATAATGGAATTAAAAATAATTGGATGACATTGAAAATGTGGGTGAGCGAGCAGAATCAGAGCGATGGCAAAACTTTATTGTTTTTTTTTATGTCAGCCAGTTCCTGTTGCCTTTAAAATTTAATTACCAAAGTATTTCCGAAGCGGCTCGAGGCGATCCGGAAATTCAAGCGTCAACTACAAAATTGGAATAAACAACAGAAAAGGCCCGAAGGAGCGACAGGGAGCGAAGATGTCAAAGTGACCGGCTTTGTTCTCCAACCATCTATGTATCTCCCTCTCTTGCCTTGGATTCTCTTGGTTTTTTAAGCGGAAGAGTTGCCATTTTCATTTTCTTTTGCGGCAGCGCCATTTTCCTTTCATTCTTTTCGACCATAATTTGCATGGCATGGGAACTTGACTTTTGTTGGCCCGCCCCGAAAGGGAAGTGGCAAGGGAAAGCTGGCGTGGAAAATATGTTGCAGGCGGCGGTGGCGGCGGCGGCAGTGTTGGGAATATAATAGAAAAATAAGGTGCCACACAATATGGCCGAGAGCTTTACAGTTGGTTAAGTAGCAAAAGCGCGCGAAGCGGCGAAAGGACGCCGTGGCAAAAGGCGCCGGATAAAGTGGCACCAGCCAAGCGGCAGTCCAGAAAAACGCTCGCTGCGGAGGAGGAGGAGGAGATTTTCCAGCGAGGCCATCTCGCCCAGCACAGCAGAGCAGAGCATAGCGTTGGAGCATGGCGTTAAAATTGTGTTGACAAGAAAATTATAAACCGGAAAATGTTTTATGTTGTGGCTATGCGATTTTTACTCATTCTTATGCCCTCTCACTTTCACACTGGCATCGCGCCCTCTCTCTCGCGCTGCTTACAGTGTATCATCTGCCATCCCTTTCTTGGGCGCTGGCTCGCTTTTCGAGTGGCTTTTTTAAAGTTTCAGCTCGCCCATTGTGGTCAAATTAAATTGAGGGGAAATTACCAATGAAATGATGCCAATTTGCTGAAGGGTCAGAGGTCACTAAGCGAAAAAGAAGCGCTTGGCTGAGCTAAAAGGCATTCAAGTTTTGTGGTTATTTTTTAAGAACTTAATACTCATAGTTAGAGCAAATAGTTGAAAATGCTCCACTATTCCAACGATTAATATTAGATTATGGAAATTCATGTGTAATGCCTTTTGACATTAAAGCACAATTGCTTTTTGCTCGGATTTGAAATAGAACTGGATAAGCCCTCTAATACTGACATTGACCCAGATTTAACTTATAATGCTGCTTAAACTTTTCCTTTGTGAAATGGCATTTAAAAGCCCACTACGCGCAACCTAGCAATAAATTAGTGTCGCGGCCACCGAGAAAAAGTTTAAACACGGCCAGGTACACGTGTATTCCATATAGTATAGTATGGCCATATAATCACAGGGAGTCGTACATAGGTCTTTCGTCCTCGAACATATACGTGCATGTATGTATAAATGCATGTGTATATAATGTGCTGGTTACTGCCACGTTTAAGTTCGTTAAACATTTAAGCCCAGCTCGTTTTGTGTGTCAAGCACACACGTACATGCACAATGTACACACATGTACATACATACTATATAAAAAGTCGTTGGGGACAAAAAGAGGTGAAAATGAGTGCAAACACACTCGCCTACAATTACAGCACTCAAAAAGGGGCGAAGAACAACGGGGCACGGCAAATGGAAAGCGGAAAAGTGCGAAGGAGGCTGGGGAAAAACGCTTGGCGAACGAAATTGCTCGGCAACTTTACTGCATAGTTAATTAATAGGATAACACAATTAATTTGTGGGCAATGAATGTCTGAGCTTTATTTACCCGCCCAGCCAGGCAAAAACTACAAGTGCCCAAGGGTCACTGGGTGTGTGTGTCCTTTCCATTTCCACTTCCATTCCCATTTCCATTGCCACTTCCATTGCCATACCCATACCCATACTCAATTCCATGCCCAATTCCAACTTGCAGCTGCTGCCCCACAGATGATGTGGATTCTGCAGTCAGAACTCGCTTATCACGCAGCTGTGGTTTCGGATAATTGCCAAAAGGCTTATGAGATTTCCCAGGCATGGCCAGAAACTAACCGAGGCGCAAGTCTGACCCGGCTCCTAATGATCCATCAAAGATAATTTGAAATGTTTAGGGGTTAGGCTTGATTAATGATGCAGGTCAGGCATTGTATGGAGCAATGGCCAGAATTATGAATATTAAATATGCATTCAAATTCGACACCGCTGAGATTAAATCATAAGTGGATTTTAACAACAGTTTCGTACTTCGTTTGATATAGATCTTAATTAATAAAGGATTGTAAGAGTAAAATACTTTTATTTACCAACTTTGATTTGAAGGTTTCGTAATTGTTAATAAAAGTTTTTAAACTGTTACCAAAGGCTTGGTTCGAAATGGTAATATCAGCAGAGATTAATCTACAACTAAGTCCAACAAATTGCTCTGGTTTGGGGTTTCTCGTGGACAAAGAATATTTGAGAGCCTCCCTGATACATTCATTGAGGCCCAAACGCCAAAGGTAAACAGTGAAAAAATGGGAGGGCTGAACAGTGGCTCAATTAACAATGCCCCCTCACCACCCAGTAAACAGAAAAACAAAAAAAAAAAACAAACGTGGATCCTGCGAGCCAAAGAGCTACTTACAAACATCAGTTTTAACTATTGTTTGCACACTAGACTCAAGAGCGACAAAACGAAATGGTTGGGGGCGCTGGGTAAAAAGGACGAACTATGCCCAACTTTAAGGACCCAGTCGCTCGCTTTGGGTTTTGTTGGGATAACAAAAGGCCGTTGGCCAAACAAGCTGCCAGCGACGCCTAAAAAGCGGCTACGTAAAATTTCAAAACGTAATTTTTTATGCTGTCACAAATTTGATGGTGATGGTGACGCTCCTGCTCCTGCTCCTGCTACTGCTACTGCTACTGCTGATGATGATGGCATTTTGTCAGCATTATTATACTATACATAAAATACTCCACTTTATGTTGCCATTCTTTGGCAGTTGTTTGTTTGTTGCGGGTAGAACAAAAAAGCTTAATAAAGAAAACACCAAACAGGCAACTTAATTTTTTCTGCCTCTTGTTCGCCATTGTCCTGTTTAAAAACATCCTTTTGTTCACCCCTTTGTTTCGCCCCCTGCTAATTTGCCACGTTGCCTTTTTTGGGCGGTAAAAAAATTGAGGAAAAGTGGAAACCTCTTTGGCTTTGATTGTATCTGCCCCTCGGCAGGTTGTTTGTGTCAGGCTTCAAAATGCAAGATATTTACGATAAGATCAATGGAATTGGTTCTACGACGGAGGGGGGGAGTGTTCTTAAAGCTAAAGTCTTAACTTAATTATTGAATTTTAAGAGCTTTACCTTGAAATTGTCCATGTCTATGAGTTGCGTGGCCTAAAATCACTCGGATGGTGACAGACGATTTTAGTTATTTAGTTGAATTTAATAGAACGTTTTATTTTCACTACAGTTCACACAGAGAAAATCACAGACTTGGTGTTCAAATTTTTGAATGAAAGACATACTACTCAATTAGTAACCGATTTTCCGGTTTTCTCTATGTTTTTGTTCTTCAGGGTTTCGATGGGTGGTGGAACTCTCTTATTTGTAAGCCAAAAGCTAAAGCCTTCTACTCGGGACCCAAGACTCAAGCCTCAAGCACACTCACGCACACATTCTCAATTTTCAAGCTCAGCCCGGCGCTGCATTTAGCTGCATTTAATTATATTTTATTTGGTAGGCACTTAGAGAGACAGCCACTAGATATATAGTGTGTATTTAAGATATGTATATAGAAGCACAGAGATACCAAAAACGAAAATGGAGTTTATAAAAGCACAGAAGCACAAACAACAAAAGCGAGACAAGATCAGTTTTCGTTGAGGCCCTCAAATGGGGATTTGGTATTGGTTTGAAATATATATCTGATTTTTTTTTTTTTTTTTTTTTTTTTTTTTTGGTGGGATGAGAAATCAAGACTTAAAGCTTACGGTCTACGAGTCACACGAAGCAATAGAGGAGAGTTGAGTTAAGGGAGTTGGTGGTTCTAGTTCGGTTTAACATTGGGGCAGTACTGACCTTGATGCTGTCGTAGCAGGCGGTGACCTTGCCGTTCTGGACTTCCACGTTGGCCGGGGGATGGGCGAACTTGCACTCGGTGTCCTGGCGCGAGCATTTGTTGCGCTGGAACTCGCGACAGACCTCCAATTGCAGCCAGCGCGAGTCCTTGCCGTTGAGCAGGCTGTTCATATTGACAACGTTGGCCATCGTGTTTTGGGGTTATAGATATATAACTATATGCTGTTTACGGATCTGGATCTGGGATAGCTGGAGTTTGGAGTTTGTATAGTTATAGCCTAGCGACTAGAGAAAGTTGTTTGCTTTTTATTGTTTTACTATACGTTTTTATTGGTGCTTTATTTGAGTGCTCCTCTCGCGACACGCACACACAGAAAACACTAAATTCAAGAGCACAGATCAGCACCTATATATGTATATAGCATAGATCTATGGCAGATGGTATGAGTTGGTATTCAGTTGCTTTCTGGTCTTTATCGATTTTGTTCGTTAGCGTTTTTGTGGAGTACAAAGCTTGTGGGGATAGCTGATAGCTTGGGCTATAATTTTGATTCAAATCGAACGCTTATTCAAATATATAGATGTGAGTGTGTGGTATATATCTATAGATAAACGCAGCTGTTAATTTTTGTATTTTATATTATACTGCTTTTTTTTGTGTGTAAGCTGAGTTTACATTATCTGAAATGAGAGTAAAAGAGAGAAATAGAACTTTAGGATCATACCGACTTGGTTCACATTCCAAGATAGATAAATAGAAATGGCGAAAGACAGAGATAGATAGTCGTATAGAGAGAGACAGAGAGAGACAGAGCGATTCTAGGTATAAGTGAGAGATGTGGAAACTGATCATGTTGTACATTTTTTAGATTTTAGGGGTTAGTAATGCGCAAGTCGTTGTGTTATGGTTTTATGCAGAATGCAATGCTCAAATGATAATATAAACAAAAGACAATCGACAGACATAACCGTATCACTATGGAGTATTTAATATGTAATATATTTGCGATAGATTCCTAGACTAAATGAGCGAATGGTGTGCAAAATAAAAGTTCTCGTTTCATACAACTTATGATATAGTCACTAAAAATAGTTCGCCAGATATACACAAATGAATATCTGGTTGTATATATAGTTTATATAGAGCGTGAGCAGCGTTTGGCATCCAGTTTGCAGCTTTCTGGAGGGTATCGCAGGGTATCCAACAGCCAAAACAGCCAAGAGCCACAGCTAAAGAGCCACAGCCAAATAGCCAAATTAAGCCTAGCCCCTAAGGCGATTCATTGCAATGCACATTGACCAAATAAAAAGATAACTACGGATAAATATTATGAACTAAAGTGCACTAATAGTCGCTCAGATACGCACATATATATATTTATATATTCGTGTATCTGTAGGCCCGGCCCAGCGGTGTTTAGCAATTAATTTGTAAAGGTAGGTATATATTTTTTGATCGTTTTTAGCTAAGCAACATTTAAGAGAGAGACACCGCCTGAGAGAGTAGTGTTTAAGACTCGTATATATTCACTTTTTAGCAAATTTCTTTTTATAGCAATGGGATAAATTGTTAAACGCACTTACCGCTCGTTACAAATATTTTATTTAACGCTTATTTCGATTAATCAAATACTGTAAAAAGAATTTCGTTTAGAATATATATTAGAGAGAAATGCATGAGGAAACTGTTACTTAGAATAGAGAAGTATAAATCAATTTAAAAAATCACCAAGTGACACAATCATCGATGACGGCACACACAATTTGATGTTGATATTTTGTTGTTATTAACATTTCAGTTTGCATTGTGTTTTGTTTGATTTGTTTTTATCTTCATTTGAACGCCTGTTGCAATTGTTGTTGTAATCGTGTTTGCATTGGTGTGCGTGTATGTGTGTCTTTAATCTTATCTTATCGCAGTGAGCGGCATATGAATCAAAGTTTTTTGAAAAGGGAATCTATTAAAGCTTTCTTTGCTTGTCTGGTTGTTGTTAAATATTTAATGGGCTTGGACCGGTGAGATGTGAGTAAACTGACAACAGTTGCGTAAATTAAGTTAAAGATGCAGTTTGGTGTGGCTGCACTCATATTAAATTTCTGCAAATGCTATCAAAAATATAAGAAAGATCACGTTGAATGCAAAATTCCTCTCGCTGTTCAATAAGCATTCTCCCAAAAGCCAAATATTCCCTATCTACCATTTGGCATTTCGAAAATTATCACACCGACACACTGACAGCAAATTATCTCAGCCAAGTCAATTTGGAAAGATACCAACGAAGACAATTAATAAACTTCATAAAGAACACATATACAGAACGTATTCTATAGTTTCTGTTAGTATATGGATTTGTGGATACGTTCGCATGATGTCAGCTGCAAATTGCTTTCCGTATTTTAACTTGATTTCCAAAGATATAAATTGTGATTTAATTTATGAGCTGAGAAATTGAAGACCCATCATCTACTTGCTCGTGTGTATGTCTGTCTGTGTGTGTGTGTGTGGGCTAATGTTTATGGCATGTATTAAAATAATTCTTGAAAACTTTTTCGTCTAAAACAAAAAAGTCTCTATCCACAGAAAATCGACCACGGGAAAAGAAGAGAAACACGCAAGTGAAACAGACGGGACGCCCACACAAGCGGACGTGGCTGGGCATCAGGCTATGTGGAATATATAGAAGACATTATAGCCAACAGATACAGCTACAGATACAGAGATACAGAGATACAGATACATGTACTGAAATCGAAACAGCGCTAGAAATTAGCAGCCGTGTCATTGACGCAGTACGAAAATTTATGACCAGAAGCGGGTGTGGAAATTGCTGCACGAAAATAAACTTCCCAATAGTGTTTATACGTGAAATTGGGCCAAGAATAATCGAAGGTTCTCCTGTTCGTACTACATATGCATATAGATTGGTATAATACGCAGACTGGTGCATCCGCCGACCTACAAACAACCTTCAGATACTGCTTTCAAATCTAAGGACACTCGCATCTCGGCGATTTTCGCTTATTAAAATATCATTAAGAGAATAAAAAAGAAACGAATTAAACTGACGGACAAAAAACGATGCAAATTGATGTAGACCCAGACCCCGAAGACAAACAAGTTCAACAAGTTTTGTCCGTAGGTTTTGTTTTCCTTTTTTCTTTCTGGTTTTTCGGTCTCGTATCAAAAAGTGTTTTGAAGGTTAAAGTTGCCGAAAAAACGCTGAAACATCTGAGAATCGAAGAAACCAGCAGCCAGGGAGAGAGTGAAGATTGAAAAACTGTTAATTTCCAAAGCTGTTAACGCAACTCCACTAAATATTTCTTCACATTCGCATTTCATATGTGCCCAAGTTCGACATTATGTTTATGCAAGCTGAGTCAACACAAAGGCAGCTGTGCTGGCATCAGAATTTTTGGGCAATCCTAATTGCATCTGGAATGGTGGACTACTTTGCTTATGAGTTTTTGGTTCAATTTACAGTAGTAACCAGGGATTCCGAAATATTTTGTAATTGGGGAAAGACTTGTAGTCTTTGGGGAACTGGCAAGTATTTTATTTAGTTTAATTGTATTTAATTTATGCGTGAGAATTTATGAAATATTTCAATTTGATTGGTTGTTGGGAATCAAAATACGATCATTCATCTTGTTATTGAAATCGTTAAAAGGCTAAATGGTTTGCTCTTCACTAGGAATAAATAAATTAGATTTATTATTCAATTATAAACGAAACAGCTTAAGAAATATTTATTGCCTAAATACCGAAAACTCTGACTTGTACTAGTTATTTGATAATTACGCAGATTAGATTAACACTCAAAAATCTGCGCTCGAATTGTGGTCATGGTACCGAAACAGCTGTTTAAAGGCAATAAGTTGCTGAGTTGACTAACAGTTGGGCAGTTCTTTTAGTTAAGCTTGCAGTTTTGGCCATAGATAACATATATATTTTATCTATTCATGCCACCGCAATCAATTAACCGTTCTTTATAACTTATCCAACCATCCATTCCCCAACACACATGGCCCATAAATAACATACAGACCAACTCGAGAGCGTTTCGCTGATAAGGCGACAAACACAACGAGTAGAACGCTGCAGTTAGCAGTTGGCTGTGAAAGCGCATTTTTTTTTCGTATTTGCATATACTCTTATTGATTTGTTTTTTTTCAGATATGCGACTCATATTGTATACTGAGAAACGTAGATATGTACACCAACTTGAGCGCCCGCCGACTTACGAAGTTGCGACTAAAGCCATACACAAGTCGCGGCAAATACCTCAGAGGGCCGAAAACAAAAGCAGAAACGCCGAGTTTTAGCTCTCGCCCCGCGGGCGACAAGTTAATGCATTTAAAGAAACATTTACGCAAGTGAAGCCGTAGCAAAACATCGGTCAGTAACCGCTCTGCAACATTATACAACGCTCCTCTTATGCCCCGCAGAAAAAAAATTAAAAAAAAAAAAAAAAAACAGAGCAACCCCAAAGGTATGACATACATATTGAACGATGCGCTCATAAAAAAAAGTGAAAGAAAGAAAAGCGGGTGTTTGCGAGTTAACCAGGTTCGACGGCTACTATCAATAAAAAAGATAAGATAAAAACTGGGTGAACCCTATACACCCATACTATAATATGCATAGGCCTTATTCGCAACCACAAATAAAGTTGGTACAAGATAGCAAACGCAAATATCCTACTCATTAAGACAACAGTCGAATGAAATAATAATTTACAAGTATTCCTCATGCATATCCAAACTAATTTTATTAAACGAACTGCAGGAACAGCAAACTTGCCCATCTACAAAGCGAAAAAGATGACGTTGATTGAAATGTTAGCCATAAATGGCCAGTGGCTAAATGATCGCTTTACTTTGGCTTATGTCATTCAGGTGGGTCGAGAAAAGACACAACGGATCTTTTTTTATTCTGCGCTGCTCCAAAAATGGAGTTTTGACTTGCCTAATTAATTCTTATTGTCATCCATCTGACTTGGCTAATTAATTTGGTAGTACACGGTGCGTTGGCGGCAAAAGATTATTACTTCTTTGCTCTCATAAGTTTCTCATGCTTTTGAAGTCTCTTCGCTGGCTGAATTCATCGACAGCTATTAGCGCTTTTTCTGAGATATTTTTCGAAAGTTGGTGCCCAGATAAAAGAAATGCATTCACATACGCTTTTCAGGGGGCTGCCCTTTTATGGTCTGGCTGTATAATTTGGCAGAGCTCTCGAATAGGTGCTGAAATAATCTGCAGATCGATCTATATATGGTATAACGTATGTGACTAATGGGAAAGCAGAAGATGACGAAGCGTGCCGTAAAGTAAATGGATTCGGTAGGGCGCTATCAGATGTGTTAGGTTTATGGAAAAAATGTACAGATCTTAATTTGATTTAATGGAAATCAAACCAAAGCGAAAACAATAATAGTAAGAGCTTTGCATTGTAAACAAATTACTGAAAAACTGTGACATTTTCATTATTGATTATCACAAATGCAAGTGAGAAAAACTTTCGTTTTGTCATTTTGAAAACCTTGCCCTAGTCCCAAGATCTTTCAGCATCCACTAAAATTCACCTGATCTCGTCTTATGCTAAATCGAATCAAGAGCTCATTGTCACGTTTTTCTCTCAGCGGAATTCATATTCAAATTTTCGTTCACACAAGCAAATCAATTTCTTAGGCGTAAAACGCGATCATCAGTAATTACGTCAGAGGTCGGAGAGCTATAACATATATAGCTTTATACACACAAAACTGAACCGAAAGAGGAGGCCGAAAAAAGCGAATGCGGGAAATCAAAAACAAAATTCATAAATGAGAGCGAGCTCTATCGCGCTCATATACTATTTTTTGGCATATTCATAACATTTGGCTTATCTTAAAAATACGAGAGCGCCGCCACAAACACAGATGCAATTACACATACAAACGCAACCTGAGAATCTGGCGGTGAAGACGAGGAAGAAAAATCCGAGCAACAAATGCTCAACTAATTTTCATAGATTTCTGTGCCTAATTAATTTCGCTGGCGAAACGTATTTATGTTTATATATTCCCAACGCGCTGATGATGAACCCCAAAATAGCCGAACCAAGAGTGAGAGAATAATATTTATAAAATTAAATATTTCACAAAATTTCTGAAATGAGAATCGAGTTAATCTTTGAACTAATTTGTGTGCACATAATCACATTGCAGACACGCCTCGAAACTCACAGACTCTGTCTCCCATGGGAAAGGTTAAACAATCAATTCTGCCTTCAATTGATCTCAATTGTGCGTTGCCCCAAGGGCCAGTGAAGGGTTAAAGATGCCGACGTTATAATTCACCATTGGCATTATGCAAAAGCGTATAAAAACTTTGTCTCTCGGCCACAAAAACGAACTTATTTTGGGACTGCAGTGGAGAGTCGTTCCAAAAACGCTGCCAAAAACAAATGAAAAAAAAAAGCGGCGGGAAGGTGGTATATCTTTTGGGGGGCTGTGGATGCACAGCTGCAGATACATCCAAAAGATACATCCAAAAAGTGCGGCAGCTGTCGCCTGTTATGGGAGATGCCTCAGATACTCGGATACTCAGATACACGGCGGTACAACAACACCAGCAACCGGACGAAACACGTTCAAAATTTCTTTTTCGACTCTTCGGTTGGTTGTTGTGTTTTGGCATGTGCTAAGAGAATTATGTTAGGGTGTGCCATCTGTATATTTATAATTGAGGAAGCTGCATTGGGCGGCCAATTGGGTGTGAGACAAGTTATGGATATTTCGAATTTTATACTAGAAAAGTTCATATTTAGTAAAGTAAACTTCATAAACTTATACGACTAAAGTTTATGGTGAAACCATGGTATACCTTGGAAATGAAAATCCACTTGGAAATGAAACCTCAAGGGATTTGAAAGCAAACATTCGAAAGAATGTATAGTTACCAAATGTGTAGTAAAATTATAATTTATTAGCGATTTGAACAACTTTCCACTATGTTTAGGTAGTCTACCTCTGAAATTTGTAACTCCAGCTAGTCTGAGTCACCCTATTCCTACGATTCTCCCAACCAGATACAAAAACCACAAATATCTATTTGTTTTTTGTTTCTTCTTTCTTCTCGACTCGTTCGCTACCTCAGTCGACGTCGACGTCGACGTCGCAGCTGCTGTGCGCTTATTGAAAAAGCCAAATACAAAATTTCTAGCAACGAAAAAAAGTGTTTGATATTTTTAGAAAAAAAGACCACGAGCACATGTTTCAAAATATCAAAAAAGATGAAAACTTGAGCGAGAGGAAACGGCCAAATGGAAACTAAGATTTGAAAATCTTCGAAACGCAAACGAAATGTTTATGTGGATGCAAAAATACACGATGCGATATAAAACAGCATCCCATCGAATCGATATTTCGAATATAGAAATTCCAGCATCAAAGGAAAACTCGAGAAATAGTTTGCCAAATTCGGAATGAATAAACCTACTAGCTATTTACGAAATTTGCGAATTTGAGTATATGTACTCCCTAGCATTAACAAGTATTTGCTCATGAGCAACTTGCATTGTTTTGCGTTTTCTAGCGCTTTAAGGCTAGACCTTTTCATACCTTTCGTCTGAACTCTGACACCTTTTCGAGTGCTGTCATCTCGCATCAAAACTGAAATCGCGAGCCGAGCAAGCAAACACAGCTACATAAGTACATATACAACGCTATTTCCACACTTTCAACAACCAAAAGGGGGTGTTCCTATCGATATTTACGACCTATTGAGAAGAGCTTAAAGCACAAAACCCTCTTACTACAAGTCAAACACATATTTCTCCCAGCGACGTTTTTTCTGGCCTCGTCTTTTTGTACTGCGGCATGAGTTTTGGCGAAAAATCGAATCGATTAGTCATGCCAAAAGTCCTCAAGTTTTCATCCCAATCCCCTTCACCAACAGCATATACAAAGCCGTCTTGTGGCATTCGTGGGGTTTTGTAGTTATGGTTCGAGTTTGATTTTTTGAGTACGTTTGGAGGAGAAAAAGTGAATGACTTGTCAGAGTGTATTGAGCAAATGGACAGAAATAACAATTCATTTTTGGCATATTCCAAACAATTTCTTTGACTCATATTTCTGCAGCAACACATTTTTGACACTTTTGTCGATGATGATGGTGGAGAATGAAAAGTAAAAATATAAACGAAATGTGTCAAACTTTTGCTTTTTGTTTTTCCAGTTGCCAGCGGGCAGAGCTAATTCAATTTGCATATCTCAACTGGAGAAAAACGGGAAAACGAAACAAATCGGAAAAATTATAATAACAATCTTTTTGCAACTGAAACCGAAGCTAGGGCCGAAATAAACATAAATTTAATGGTTACGACTTGGCAAGAGCACGGGGTGTGGGCTTTTGGGTGGAGAACCACATAAAAAACGTGACTTTTCGTTAAAATAAAATCTATGTATTTGCATGTGCGAGTACAGTGCGTTTCAGGATCGTATTTCCCATGACTTCGTTTCTAAGACCCTGAAATGAAATCGAATGACCGTGCAGGAAGAAATCCGGTAAACGAATCAGTTTCGTTTAACAAAGTAATCACATTAAATTTAAGAATCATGTCTGTTTTCTGTTCGGGTGTCTAAGCCCATTAAATATCCTAAGCTTTCAAAACAATTTCATTTAGCCATTAATTCAGTAATTGCCTGTTCGCAGGCGTTTTGTTTTATTGTCACGTGTGTTTCTTTACAGCTGCCTAACAGTGGCGAACCGCACTGTAAAAATTTCTCGACTTAGTTGTGTTTTTGTTTATTTAATGGTCTAGGCCTTGTCCGGCTTTAGAATAAAAATGGCTAAATTTGCATTACATTACAACACGATTTTTTATAGTTTTTACCGTACTGTTACGTTAATTAACTCCACATATGATATATATTCATGTTGAGCATTTCGGGCTCTTTCGCAAATAATGTGGATGTATTTAACGTATTTAATGGGCAATAATGTGGAATAACCATTCCCATTTTCACTCTGACAAATTTGGTTTGCAATTTGTTGAATTTTAATTATTATTTCACAGTTCATTAGGCTCAATTTCAATTTGATTTTCGGTCATTAAGCTTTACCAAGCCAAGTGAACGGGATGTGCATTATTTTAACAGATTAAGCACATTTTTTACGATTATAATACTCTTATTAAGACAAAATTAATATTTTGTGGCTGTGTAAAGTAATTTCTTTTCAATAAAAAAATCATTTTTTGTATATGGTTCCTACATTTAAGCCCATTTTGCTAAATACATTTGTGAAATAGGTTTTTTTTTAAAGTGGAGACAATAAATAATTATTTGTTTATATTTATTGACGCCAAACAAAATAAAGTAACCTTCAGTAATCGTTATTATTGTCCCTATATATATTTTTGCATAGTACTAGGAAAGTTTTGCAAGTATTTGCTGACAAACTAAAGTTGTTTTATTTAGTTATATGCTAAAAATTTCTAGAGGTGCAAGGTATATTTCTTTTTGTAACGCTTGCATCTCTAAATCTCTAAACATCTCTAAAATATCGAATTTACATATATCGATGTTTCTGCACATTTTTCAGCACTAAATAGTATTAAGTACTACTCTAAAAATAAGTGATTTGCATTTTTCGGCAATATGGTAGAGCTTTTGCAACACTGCATTTAAATTATTTAATATTATAATCAAATTATTCTTTAAACTTTACACAAATGTCTTTAGTTGAATTTAGGGATAGATTGGGAACGACTTTTGATTAACTTTGAGGAACATTAGTTTCCCTAACATTTTCTTTTGTAAATTTTCTGCCATTATTCTTTTGCTGAGTCTTGTGAACAACTTTCCCTACGATATTAAGTTTTCCCTGTCATGAAACAGAATTTCCGACTTTTCACTTGGCATCACCGAAAATTCGACAACAATAACAAACAAGACCACGAAATGTGGCAAGCAGAGGAAGAGAGAGACAGGGAAACCGATGGATAAAAAAAACATAAACTTAAGACGAAGGCGAAAAAAGAGAGAAAACAAAGGAAAAAAACACAACGATCTCTTTTTTGTTTTTAAGTATAAACACCTTCGGTTGTCCAGCTGACTTGTTGTTGTTGCTGCTGGCAAAGTTGAAGTTGTTGAAATGGTTGCTGTTGGGTGAAAAAGCGGCTGCTGTTTTATTTTCTTGTATTTGCTTATTGTTTTACTTTTACGCCGATGGTGAATTGAAAATGTATTTTTAACCTTTTTTCTTGACGCGCTGTGGTGGTGTGTGTGTAAACTAAACACGCGCGTTGTTGCAGAAGTTGTTATCGTTGTTTTTTGCGGCACGACGTGACGTCATTAAGATGCCGGCTAAAAACAATGGATTTTGCGATTTTTCCGGACAATTTCCCTGCAGCGCTTGCACTATTTTTCTTGAATTTTCATGCACGACTTTCGACAACTTCTTCTTTTTCTCCTTTTATTATCTGTCACACACAGAAACGAACACACACACACACACTCTTGCTGAGCACCTCACATACACGTGCACTCGCGTTGTTGTTTTTTTTTAGTTGTATTTTTGACAAAATTTTTCCGCGTTTCTAGAGTTGTAGCCAAAATCGTTTTTGATGACGGCGTTTTGCAGAAAAGTGATTATTTCAGTTTGCGGTGACTGGGCAGAAAGTATTGTGTTTGTTATTATTTAGCTGAGAGCTGCTATTTCTTTGAGGGGATTTTCTTGAGTTTTACAGGCTCTGCTATAATTCACTTTTCCGCTGACAGAACCGCTTCCATCGAAAAATTTTTCGAAACTGAAAGCAGCAATATTTTTCTGGCCATTCCATTCCAATTCGACTCGAAACTCTTCGCTCTCTTTCTCGCTCTTCGTGTCATTCTCTTTCGCTTGCTTCGCTCCACCAAAAGCCGACTATGGGCCACATACTCCCTTATTGTGGCATTTTAGCAGCAGAACAGTTTAAAGAGTATGAATTATATACAAGTTTGTAAATTATGGTATATCCGTTTGTTCAGCTAAAATGTTATAGATGTGCACATTTTTTAAGCGTTTGATGAAACACCATGTTTGAGCAACCTTCGAGTTCGCAAGAAAAAGTTTGTTTGTCCCACAGTGCAACGAGCTCTCTTGTACGCTCTTGAGAGAACTTTTATCCGATGAAGAGACTTTGAGTGGTTTTGTGTTGTTGGTTAGCGAGGGGGGCTTTTTTGAGGGGTTAACGAGTTCAATGAAGGCGAGTCGAGTTGACAATCAACTAAAAGGTTAACTGGCCAAAAGTAGACAGATTTAAGCTTTTTGGCGTAGGTTGCGGACTATAAAATAGCCTGGCAACTAAATTGTGCAAATCGACGACTATATTTATGAGGGAAACTAGATAATGAAATTTTGTGGGGTGATAAAAATAATTAGTTAGCTGTTTTACATTGAAGACATTTTCAAGAGTTAGAATATTAACTCCTACAAATTATTGAAATTTCTGAAAATATTGGTGGGAAACGTTAGAATTACGATTTTGGGCACGAAAGTATCCAATATTTATATTAGTGGCATAGAGGATTTTTTTCAATTGAAATCTTTAGCTTATAATTAATATCAAATAAGCACTAAACATATAAAAAACAGTTATCTTATATTTTTTGTAATCTTTCAAAGTGCAAAACTTTATAGTTTTCAGTAAAATCTTGGTAAAAATTTGCAAATGCATAATATGCATAAAAAGATGAATAAGAAATCACAAATAGGGTCTCCAATTATTTTTGGTTTGTTTTATTTAACTATTTTTAAGAAAAACCAAATTGTTTGGGCAACAATTTTACTTATTGATGCATAGGTTGGTCAAATAAATTTTGAAAAATACCATCGCTCTAATTGCTCACACACCGCAATGATAATTAATGTTCTGCCTACAGCTTCCATTTGGGCCTGAGGACAGAAATAAGTGAACTTAGTGAATTGGAACTTTGCTCGCTCTGTCAAAGTCACCTTCAAAGTGTGTTCGATATGTTCTAAATCATTTACGTAAATGCATCCCATCCATAACGGTATAGCTATATATCCGAATGCAGCCCAGCGGGCCGAAAATAGAAATATGTAACACACACAGCCAACACTCTTGACATTTCTATGTCATAAATTTGTTTCGTTCTTTGGATTTTTTGGCAGCGTGCACTGAGCAAAAGATATGGTCCCAACACCCCCCACATGGCAATTAAAATATGTGTGGAAAGGCGGGGAAAACCACTCGCACTGTGTGGCGTTTGTTAATTGTAATAAAAAGTGAATGTAAGCGATTGCAGGAACGGAAAACCAAGTCCAACCAGAACGGCCATGTGAAAGCCATATGAAAGGGAACAGAGAGAGCGATCCGAACAGATCGAGGAACGCCCCCGCAATGATCTTAGCTCCACTATAAGGTGGATATACAACGCCCCCCGCCCCCTGCATTTGGCTTATTATTAGAAGTCCATCGGTGTGTGTGTGTGTGTGTGAGTTGCCTATTTTTAAACGATTTCAAATTGGAGTTTTTGTCAGTGACCCGGCGGAGAAACAAAGAGTGGTAATGGAGCTCGGGGGCAAGTGAAAGGTTTTTGGTCTGCACATGATGCAAAATGAATTACAGCGTTTCAGCCGCGAACTGAAGGTGTGGTAAGCTTGGTTAAGCAAATAATAAGTTATGTTTACTAATAGTAGAGATAAATCAGATTTGCGGCCATTATGATTGGAATGTGCCGAATCACCTCCGAAACATGTAATTTTTTAAGGCCCGATGCCGACAGTTATTAGGATATTAACAAGATTAACTACTGTTCGGGTAGCATTTTAAAAACAAATCAAGGCTGCTGAGACTAGAAAGGCAATTAATTCGAAAATAAACCTACTCATTATATCAATCCTTGCATCTAGAGTGCTGTAATACATTTCCCTCACAACGCTAATGACCCAGCAATTAATAAAACTTATAGACGCACTTGCGATTCCATCATCGTAGATCTACGTATTTATAGAAGATGTTATCGGCAAATGACATCTCCGTCTCGGTACCCAAAAACGCCCACCGCAGCATCTTGAAAACATCATTAGCAACACATTTATCGGCGCTGCCTCTCTCCGCTGCAGCAGCCTTTCAAATGTGGGCTGCTAGCGTCTGCTACGGATTGGGATTCGGACGCAGATACAGATACAAATGCGAGAACGCTGGCCGAAAGATACACGAACTCGTAGCGTAGACGTGCTGGTGGAGCGAAACCGGTTCCGGGCAAAATCAAAAGTTGCGCAGACGTCGCCGACTCAGCTGCTCTGCTGACCAAGCCGGAGTTTTGGGAGTCGGGGACGGGGACTGGAAGCTGCGAGGGGCCGGGGCGGGCCTGGAGTGCTAAAGTACACAAAGGCAAAGTTTTCGAGATCGGTGCACAGGGAGAAACGTTCTAGTAAAAACTTGTAATAAGTTCAGAAAACTCTTTTGCAATGCAACCCTTAACATTTTTAGGGAATCGGAAACAATGATTTGGCCGTGTGGATGCTGCGTATGCGCAGCCCGTTTCTCTGAGTGCACCGCTCCGTGCGTGAAGTAGTGTAGGTAAATCAGATTGGGGAACCGGCGCCGAAACGGGTTTACTTCTCGTTTGTGCTACACCTTTTGCGCCTGTTCCTGGTTCCGATCCCCATTCGAGAACGTGTTTCAAGGCTTTTTCGAACGGGGTGTGTAACCAGTAGCAAAGAAAACAAAAAGTAAATAAGAAGGCGCGGAAAAAGGAGGTCGCCGAATGAAAAGATCGCGGCCAAACAAAAGACACCACACGAGAAAATCGGGCTGTAGGGATTGGCCCGTTGCCGTCGGGCTGCAGAACGGTAGGTATAATAAGGCCCACCCTAATCTAATTAGAAATAACGGCAAGAACAAGTCGAGTATTTCTGCGCACGCGATCGCAAGAGACCGGCTAGTGCATATAAATTGGCATAAATAAAGCAAAAGTCACGTCGATTCGTGTCCAAAAACCAAAAGCCAAACCAGTTTCAAATTCCAGATCAGATCATCGCAATGACGTAGCCTTCTTATTTCTCCGACCCGATACTAGTGCAATCTGAGTCAGCTCCTGCGCGCTTCTCTTAAGAAACTCCCCAAGAGCCGGATCGCGCAGACATACATACATATATATAGATACATATGTGCGTGGGTGCCGCACAAGTTGAGTCACTCGGCATCCCCCCCTTCCCCTTTTCACAGTCCCCCACAGATCTCTTATCACTCAAAAGTGTCGAGTGCACAGGGGGGCTGCTCTTGAGTGCCACCGAACGTTCGAGTTTGAGTTTGAGTGTTGAGTTTGAGTTTGAAGATATTCCACTGAGACCGAGCGCCAGATTGTCTCGGGCAAAGTGTTCCCACTTTATCGGGGTTGCAACGGAAATTCGAGTGCTACTGCGTTGATTTTATCAAAATGAGATTACCAATCATTGTATTTCAGTCCGTTCTGTGTATAAAAAGGTTTTAATAAGATATACTACAATATAATGTTTACTTCTAAATGTTTTCCTAATGGAGTTGCGTTCCACTAAAAAATGTCTAAAATACATAAAATATGTAGTAATAAAAATGTATTTAAAGCAGCTGAATGGATTGCTTCATTTCGTTTCTGAAATAAAGTCTCTGAACCTGAATAAAAATATTATAATACACAAGGAACCCTTATTATTATTATATTAAATAGTAAGAAAAATGTATTTAAAGCATCTGAATGCTTTGCTTTATTTCGTTTGTGAAATAAAGCCTCCTAACCTGAATAAACCTAATATATTACTCAAGCAACCCTTATTTAAGTTCTGAATTGCTATTTAATTTAGCGCAGTGCACATTTGCATAATGCAACATTATTCCCTCTACTGTTCACTGTACTGGTATTATTTGTATTTTGATTCGCACCCTGGCTCCGTGTTACTCATTAAGTTGCTCTGTTTTCAACTTGGCTCCTATCGCTACCTGCATTCGAATTCAAATTAAGCAAATTACCGAAAATTTCGTTTGTTGGGCCCCTGAATGCCACGCCCCCTGCCCCAGTGTTTTCTTCTTCTTCGCTTAATTACTTACAACTAACTGCAGGGTGAAAAGTTTGCACAGCCCGCCCCCTTTTTGCGCCCACTACCACTGCCACTTGCACTGCAATTGAAACCGAAGTTACAATCGCATATCAAGCCCTAAGACAAAAGGCAAACATGCTTCGCTGAGTTTCCACCGAAAAGTGGGCGGTGGGTGCTTTTGGTGGGGGCGTGGGCGTGGCAGGCAGACTGCATAGTCGAAGAAATTACGCTGATTGAACACTAATTTATTTGTTTGTTTGTTTTAACATTTTCGCCGCATTCAAGGGGGCATTTGGGTGGCGGTATCGGAAGACGCGAGTGGAAAAGTGGATAAAAAGTTTTCCCTGCGCCAGGTGCAAAGCGCCTGCATGTGTGAGTGTCGGTGGGTGGTGGGCGGTGGGGGTGTCAAAGTGGGCGGACTTTTCGGGGGGTGGTCTTAGCTTTGTGTGTCTGCTGTTGCTAGCATCTTTTGGCTTTTTGTTGCTATTCGTAACTGAGGTTCTTTGTCTGCCATTGCCGCTTTTTCGCTTAATTGGCTGTAATTGAAATCGTTCAAAGGGGTGGAAAAGGGGGTAATGTGGAAACAGAGTTGGTTTCACTAGGTTAAGTACTAAAAAAAGATGTATAATTTATAAGAAAGCTTAAGGTAAGCTCATGCTAAATGTCGAAAAACCTGTAGATGCAATCATATTAAATTTATATGAAATATTGTTGAAAAATTACCCATTTGGAATCATTGGTTCAAACGAGTGTGCGTTTTAAATACCTAGAACATGCCTTTTTCGAACTTTAATCATGACTTATCAACATAAGGAATCTGACCGTATTGAAGTCTAGTTATTTTTTCGGTTTCAGTCGCACTGCCATTCTCGTATTTAGAGGAATTTTTTGTTGTTGCCTGCGGTCGAGCCTTGTTTGTCCCGAAAATTTTGATATATTCACGTTTTGGCTTTTTGGCCACAGTTTTGGCCGTGTGTGTGCACTGGCCTTCTGGTTTTCCTTCTAGTTTCTTTGCCCGTTTTTCCGATTCTCCCTGCCGCCGGACTGATGTGGCGACCTTTTAGCGAACGTTTTCGCCATTTGCAGTTTTTCGCCTGTGGCAGCGAGAATGTCGCTTTTCCCTTGGCCCCCTAGTTTTTCCTACGCTTTTCCTTTTTCCATTTTCTTTTTTGCGAAAAGTGCATGTGTGTGTGAGTGTGTGCGCTACCCGGCGATCTCTGTTTGTGTTTTCCGAGTACTTGGTTATGGTAATCGAATTTCAAATTATTGCCAAGAGCTATATCCGAATGGGGAAACCCCGGAATATGTCTCTCTCTTCTTTTTACTCTTTTCATGCCTTCCTTTTCGATTTTCCATGCCAAAAGTTTTTTTTCGCTATCCTTTGTTGTTCTTGTTGCGGAAGATGAATCTGTTTTTTTTTCTCAGTTTCCGTCGATTCTCCTTTGTTGTTGTTTGTGTTTATGTTTTGGCTAGTTGCTGTTGATGTTTTCCCTCCGCCTGCCTGTGTGTGTGTGTGTGTGAGTGTGAGTGTGTGTTTTCCGAGGTTTTCCTGTTTTTCCATCCTTGCACTGCTGTTATTGTTGTTTACATCCTGTTTTTGGCGCGCTTTGAATATTTTGCGGTGCATGTTTTGTCATGCAATAATTTAATTGTCGGATTTGGCAGCTTAAAAGCATCCCGCCGCCCCCGATATCAGCCACCCACAAATGTGGGGGGCGTGGCAGGTGTGGGACGATTGTTTGTTTGTTTGTTTGTTTGCTAGGAGGACGGACAGGCTGACACTTTGTGCTTTATTTATGTTTGGATTTGGCTTGCTGATGTTGTTTGGGCTTTTGTGTTTTGTTTTCTTTTGACAAATTGCTTAAATTTGTTTGCTCTGGAGTGTTTTTTGTGTGGCGCTGAATTTACATAAATCATTTTAGCAACTTTTATTTCAAGGTGAGTTCACTTTAATAATGCGCGTGCAAAGCTTTATGATGCTAAAAAACGAACAGACTTGTGCCATTGTTTTTCAGGTTTTTAGTTTCAAAGCACTCTATTTCACTTTAATTTATGAACTCCGCCTTTTTTATAACTTTACTTTTTATAAATTATCAGACTCTCCAGCTTAAAAACCAAACTGCTGCGCTGTTGAAAGAATAATCATTTCTCAAATGCCTTAACATGAAGATACTAGATCTTTAAGCTGCTGAAATCTTAACCCCGTTCTTTGTTAGTATCTATAATTCCCACCCAGCTGCATTATCTGCGACAGTTTGCTGTCCTTGGGGCACAGTGTCACTATAATTAATAATCAACAGCAGCTTAAAGATTTTAATTAAAATCAACGACAGACGGCAGCTTCTTCGGTTCTTTATCTCCGCTTTTATTGTCAACTGTGGGCTCTGGCCCTCCATTCCCGGAAAATGCAATCCGTAAGCCCCCATCTAACCACCTCCATTGGTAAACTACTCCGCTGCCACATCGACCTGCGTTGATTTCTTTTAATTTAGCCGCAATGACCTGCATCGAAATGCTTTGGTGTGCGTGTGTTGGCTGAATGTCCTGGATGCTGAATCCTGCACCCAGCATCCTGCAGCCTCCACACAGGATGTATAGTAGGGCTCGCCGTCGCCTTCAGCTCCAATTTTAGCTGCAATTCGTTTCCTTGGCAACTTAGCCAAGTTTCAGTTTCAGTTGCAATTACTTGGCGCACCTGAAGTGGCCAACAACAACGGGATGTTGAGTTGAGTTGAGTTGCAGGGGGTCAAAGGTTAGTTTGTTTGTTTGTATTTGCTGCTGCTGTTGCGGTGACGCTGCTGATTCTATTCCTCGTTGGTTTTTTTTCTCTTTCCGCCCAAGATTCACCATTCTGCAGTATTTTTTGCTATCGCTTTTCTGTTGACTTTGCGCTTTCTATTTACGCTCCGCTGTTGTTTGTTGAATTCCAACTGCAATTATGTGAATTTTCACCGTGCACAGCATAAAACATTTCCCCCAGAACTCCGGTTCAAGCAGTTGGCCTGCAGCCTTCTGTTGGCCAAAACCGGGGGCACCAGGTTCCCAGATTCCCAGGCTCCCAGGCTTCCAGGTTCCCGGGTTTCGCCGGTTCTGGCCAAGCTCAAAGTCAAACAGCGCCGGGAAAGTAAACTGAGCTTGAAAGTCAATAAGCGGGGCGCTGGGTTTGGGCCTGAGTGCCACCTGAGTTTCCAAGGATCTCGGCCCGGAAAGTGTTGAAAAGCGTTTAAAGCGTTTTTTTCTTATTTCCCCTTCATTGATTTGGTCAAATGTGTTTCCAAAAACCAAATCGCAGAAGGAATGCTCGAATATCTCCAAATGCTACTGAAGTCAGTTGCATTAATTCCTGTTAAGCTTAAAATAAAAAATAAGAACGAAAATATAACATGAAATAATTATTTTCCACCCAATACAATTTTTAAATACATATTTGACAAACAAGTAATCTTTGATATATTATTCCCTCGAAAAGTGAATAAAAATTTGATGTGAAGATATTTTGATAAATTCTCAGTTTAGGTAAAACAAAAACATGGCTCGTCGCAAAAACAAAGAACAAGTAAGTCAAGCATAAGGTATTTTATATCTGTATTTTAAAATCTGTATAAATGCATATATTTTCACAGATGCTGAAAGAAATGTTTAAGCGGCCGCAAAAAGCGGATCGCCCGTCGCTGGAAGATCAGAAAAATCTGAATCTGAAACGAAAGACAATGAATCCGGCGGCAGCGGCCAAAAGATACAGCCTTCCTCGAACTTTAAAGAGAAGTGTCATCCGTCAGATTTGCAGATTGCCACCGGAAGCCTGCAGTCAGAATACGGAAGCGCAGGTGAAGTACTTTAATTCGAACTACGGAAGGAATAAGAACGCCAATCTCAGCCGACCCGATTGTCATAAGCCTACTTGTCCCCAAATTCTCAGTTCCATAAAAGCCAAGGAAAATCTGCGAATGAGTCCTGCATCGCGGCAGAGATCGCAAAAAACGAAGAAAAACTAAGTCTTTGGATCTGTCTTTGACAAGGATTCCATGATTATGCGGTCCAGGACTTTTGTATTCATCGCCAAGTCCTGTGAATATACAATACTACATGTACACAAAAGCCTTGTGATTATATAATTTGATAAATGCACCTTTTCCGATTTCGTTTCAATAGAAACCGAAGTTTGACATGTTTTTAGAGGTTCTTTAAAATTGAAGCTGCCGCCGAGCCTTGAGAAAGCCCATCGAAGTAGAAACCCTTACTAGTTATTTGTGCATGTGTTGTCCTTAGCTCGTCTTCAAAAGGACTTTCCCCGGCATTCCGTTGGTGTCACGTAGATTTTTCGTTTGCTTTGAGTTTTCAGTTACACGATTTTTGAAAGGGACGAGGTGGAGCAGCAGCAGCGCAGCTAAGCAATCACCAAATAAAAAGCCATCGGACAGTTGCTGAGCTCAGTTTCAATTTTCACTTAAAACAAAGTTGGCCAACGAAGGAGCGGCGCTGCAGAAGGACAAAAACTGGCTGAGCCGAGCTGCATCTCACATGCACATCCACATCCACATCCACATCCACATCCACATCCTCATCCGCATCCAAAGAATCTGAGGGTCGCTCGGGCGTTAACAAAGCGCGCGAGCCGGCTGCCAAATTGTTTTTGCTGCCGCACAGGGAAAATATTCTCCATAAAGCTAATAGATATTTACAAAAAATATACATTTTGTTCTATCATTTATTACTAATAATGAGGTGGGTTATTAACCTGTGCGTGTTTTCCCTTTTTTTAAATAAAATAGTTGTTTGATGCTGGATGTATTTAAAATGTTGGGTAAGTAGCTTAAAAATTCACAAATAAAAATGTGTATTATTTAGCTCGTATTTTAGTGCAGTATGTACTTAAATATGGGAATAGGTGTGATAAAATATTTAAAGAAATACTATAATGGAGATTAACTTGAATAATTCTATTGAAGCAGTTTATGCCCGAAAAACATATGAAATAAAATAGTCTTAAAGTGAATATTTTTCTCAGTGAATGGGTTGTTGGGTTTTGTAATCAGAGCAAAGTAGACGCAGACACATGACGGAACTACCCCTTTCCCTTTCGCCTTTCCCCCTTGGCTTACGTGATTTCAGGCTGCCAAATCACGGATCGGGTTGAGAGAAAATCGTAGAGCTCAGAAAAAAGTCACGAGGAAATAAGGAAAAGCGAACAAAAAAATTATGCTGTCGGGTAGCCAAATATTTCTATGTGCTGCCATGATGAACCAACCAGAAGCGGCAAGGAAAAGCAAAACTAGAGCCAGATTTACAGAGCAAAGGGGCAACGAAAAGTTTGTGTGGCTCACGTGACATTTGTTTTGGCAAGTGTCCTTTTTCCTCATTGTCGTCAAATCAGCGAACGTACCTGCAATGAAAAATTAAAGAAAAGGGTTTTCAGTTGGTTGGCTTTTAGTTTTGTCCGTCGCAGAAAACAATGAGAAGCTGCAGATTCGTGTAAAATATTTATTATGCGCTGGAAAATAAATATAATAGCCGCAAGCGTAACACAGCCGTTTCCAATTCATGTGCTACTTGCGATTAGGATTCGACTAAAAGTTGGTATGTTTACTTATTTTAGCGCATTTATTTATTTCCAACTATTTGGAAATATTTAGAAATAAAGTAATATATTTATTTAAAAATATCCCATAATAACGATCTTATGGAAGCGGTTCATTCTTTCCATATCCCGAGTTGTAGCCCAACCAATCGCCAGTGTATCGAGATCCGCGCTTAGGACAAGGTCTTCTTGTAGTCGGTTTTTTGGTCGTGCGATCCATCCACTTCTTTATCACACCTGGCTCCTGCTCCTTGTCATATCTGCGGCGCATGCACTTTTTCAGTTTTTGGTGAAAGTAATATCCAAGCTAGGGAATTCTCTTCTTAATGACTCATTTTAATTATCACAAAGACCTCTTACAAAGCAACGTCTTCTTGTGCGTGCCAAGTTCGGCAGGCAGGTGCTCATTAGAATGACCCAGGTGAATCCTGCAGCGCAAGGTGGCAATTCTGCCGGCGGAGCGGTTCCCTCCAAAGATGACATTCTTTTCTTGAATATGAAGTCCGACTAATAGCGAATACTAAATTGTTGGAGGGACACAATTCATTTCGACACACTCGAAACTGAGCGGAAAACCACGTTATAACTAAAAATATTAGTCTAGCAATAGATATTAGAATTGGTATTAATATTAGGCCATAGAGATTGGGGCTAGTATTAATATTTATCTCATACTGCCAGATGCTATCTTCTAGATACTTTACCAATTGCAGATTCGAACTGTTGTTTGTACTGTGTTTTAAGTACAACCAGATTTAAATCGATTTAACACAGGCATATGTAAAGGGTCAAATGGGCTGAGGGAATTTCGCTGGTACAGTTGTGTTAGCTGATTGTGTTGGCATTCCGTAATTTTCCGGTTTCCCGATTGCCGCTCTTAATGAGTGAAATTAAGTAGCATACTTGAATGAGCCAGTTGACTGCGCGGCGAGGCATGCAGCAAAAGTGTGAATACAGTTTGGTCCTCTTATTTGCATCGGTTAAATTAAATTAGCTTTAAGTATACGTAGTCAAAGCTTCAGAGACTTGCTTTCAGATTAGCGGACCACGTGGCGTATGCGCAATTTCAGCCACGCAGAGATCAAAAGAAACGCTTGCGCTAAACAAGATTGGTTTTCACAGACGCACAGGTAAGCTCTTAAGCTATATAATTAGTTATCTTCAATTGGGGGAATTTGTAATATTCCCTGCATGAACCACGCAAATTTAATAAGCAATACGATTCTCAAAACAATTAACGTTTCTCTGCGTGGAAAATAGCTGAAATCTATTGACAAGTGGCTCAGGCAAATGCAATGCCAAAGTGGGCGAAAGTTGGTAAAACTTTGCCGGGCCAAAAGTGAGACTGCGAAAAAGAAATGTTCCAGGTGGCAAATGTCAAAGCAGTGGATCCTGGCAGCTGAAGGACAGCAGTCCCGTTCCCCTACCCGTTCCCGTCTCCTTGCGCTGCTTGTTTGTTTGTTTGTGCCATTGTCGTTTGTGAACTATGAACTGTCACACGGAGAAGAGTGCACTAAAAGCGTCGCCTTACGGCAACTGACTTGGAAAGATAATCGCGGGGGGTGTGATGAGTGGGCGGTGCAACTTTTGATAACGGTTTATCTGGGCTGCCGTTGCAGCTTACCTTTTTTAGCCGGGCAACAGTTTCAGCTGACTGGCTAAGTTGGCTTCAAGTTGCCACCGACTTGACTGACTTGACTTTCATCATCATCGTCATTTGCTTTCCAGCTTGAGCTTTCAAAAGGGAGGCGAAAAAAAGTATCTAGGTATCTTGGTATCTTGATGTCGCGACAACTTTTCTTTCTCGCTTCCCTGGCTGGTCCTCATGGTTAGCATTTAATTATTTGAAAAATATGCAATGGCGTGTTGTATTACCGAGGAGGAGAAGCAGGAAGAAAATCTGATCCGATGCGGAGAAAGTAAGCCAGCGAAATGGTGCTAATTTTTAGGGAAGTGCGTTGATGGAAAAAATTTGAAATTAAATTAGAAATTTTTGTATATGTTTCCCATAGTCTTTACTAACCTTACCATCTAGCGGCAAATATAATAATTTTTCATAACTCTTAAAGAATTCGTTTAAAAGGAGTTCAGTTAAAATGCAGTAATTTAATCAATTGTCTGTATTTCATCGGCATGCTTAGAATGCATGTTGCATCTACAGCTGTATTGTTCAGTTTTAAAGTGCAAGAGGGTGAACACTATTTAAGCCCAACTGGCATAAGGAGAAGGACGAGCAGAAAACATCATCTGACAGTTTGGCTAACATTAAAAGCGGCAAAATGTTGCGGCGCTGCCTGGCAAATGACATGATTTCTCAGTTCTGATTCGGTTTCCATTCTGCACTCTCTTCAGTCTGCATTTCTACATCTTCGCATTTCCACATCCCCACATCCACTTCAACTTAAGAACTGAGGGAAACTTTTGCTTATCTGCGTTACAGCCACAAAACCGAATCCCGACTCCAGCTAACCAAGTCGCCACCCTTTCTTCACTTTCTGCACTGTGGAAAACTTCTTTCCACTCAATTGGCCTCCACACCAAATCACTGATTTTGAAAATGTTAAATATATTTTGCAGTTGATTTAGTTATGCTTGAAACACTGTAATTAGCATTCAAGTGCAGCATCCTGGTGCTCATTTCTTGCAGTGTGCTCACATTTTTCCCTTTTGCCATATAGTGCAAAATCTTGAGGCACATGTTTGCTTTTGTTGCTGCTGCTGTGTTCTTTGCTGCGTTTTCCTTGGGTGTATCGGTTTGTCTGGTCCTTGGATGGCAGGTTTTCCTTCTTGGTCCTGATATTTCTACACATGCTCGTCCAGGACTCGTTCTTTGTTGCTATTTCGCCACTGAAGCGGCTGCTGTTTGTGCGTGTTTCATTTTATTTGTTGGCACAAAATTGGGTTTTAGTGGATTTTGTGGCAAATGATTTTTCCTGGCTGCCGTTACGCTTGCATAAACTTTAATTTAATTCTTGCCCAATACAAAAAGTGCGGAACTTCCCTAGGCGGCTGAACAAAAAACAAACAAAAATAACAGCGTGTTTGCAGAGAGTAGAAATAAGTATGTGCATGTTTAATCTAAGAAGTTAATGCTCAGTGCTTAAATTGCTTTGAAACCTCAAATACTTAAATCCTTACACATTCATATATAATTATTACCAATTCTCTAAAATACTATATTCTTTAAATACATATATCCATCTTAATAAACTGCCTACTTTCTGCAGCTTTACTTTCAGTGCTCACAGTAACCAAAGATTGAATTCCAGAAGCGATTAACTGCAAGCTGGATAAATGCAAACTTTTAGATATCCCAACACTTGACTTTATCCGTAAAGTTTGCACGGAGTTTCGGCACTCTTGCATTCATTTCGTTTCCCAATCGCTTTCAATCAACATGCGTATATTGAATTGAATATATTCCTCGAAAAAGCCACAGGACACACTTCCATCAATTCAAATACGTCTGCCAACATCTGTCTGTACATACATATATATTCCCATACATTGCCGCACAAAATGGAAGACACCTACCTACATGGGTAGTAGTTTTTTAAGAAATGCACAAAAGTGCAATTGAGTTGAAAGACGTGCCAAAGGGCGTGCACCAGGTAGAAAAGCCATAAAAATGGCAGCTAAACGTCGGTGGCTGGTGCCCAGGATCCAGATCCCCCGCTCAGGTGAAAAATTATAGCGTAAAATTCATATTTGATGACTTTTTGATTGCCAAACCGAAAACTGTTGCCCCGCCTCCCGCCTCCAAGTCAATCCGAACCGCAATCGCAACCTCAGATTCTGCCTTCAGCTCCGGATTCACACAGCCACATAATGCTGGCAAAAGTGCTTTCAATGGCGTCATTGTCAAGCGTTCTGCAGCCATCGCAATCGCAATCATCATCCTCATCATCATCATCATCACCATCATCGTTATCATCGCATATATCCACCTGCACCTGAACTGCACTCTATATATGTACGCGACTACTGGCTGATCCAAAGCAATGCCAAAGCTTTGGGATTAAGCTGCAGGTGGCTTTGAACTGGATGGATGGATGGATGGATGGCTGGATGGATGGCTGGATGGATGGATGGCTGGATGGATGGATGGATGGATGGCTGGATGGCAGGAAGGCAGCTGGATTTTTACTTTTCATTTTTCCATATTCCGTGTCGTTTGTCGTACTCGAGACCTACCTGATGATGATGACGATGTGCTCGAGTTTCGGTACCAACTCTCAAGATGAATTTCGGTGGCACAAGGACTCCATTAATGAACCTCAGCATGATGGTCATTTAAAATGCATTTCTAATGCAAGTGTCTTCCAGTCGAACTGGGGACTTAAGTTATTTATGAGGAAATAATTATTAAACATCCCCAAACATGCTAGTGCGTCCTTAAAGGAAAAATCTTTAGACTTGAATGCAATTTATTTCTATTCATATTTTTCGAATAGTTTAATATGCATATTACCTGGCTTAAGCCACACTTCATGTATTAACTCTCGTCCCTTTGTATCTCAGTAATCAATTTTAATTAGTTAAGTTCCCAAAACCCATTAATCGTTTTGACTTTTTTCCGTGTCAGCCATCTAATTTCAATGAATGTAAGGACCCGAGGATAAGCCAGAAACGAGGTCCTTTCAGCACCATTCCCTTGTCCTCGCAGATTGGTGTTGATGTGATGGGGCACGAGTGCTGATGACACTAATGCTCCACATGTCCACACGCACACTCAAACTGTGACCCATGAGAAGGATTCGGGATTCGGGATCCAGGACGCAGGACGTCAATGTGTTAATGACTCGATGGCATTGCATAAAACGGCTACGCTAATTTGCATTGTTGTGCGGGTGTGTGAGCGTGTGTGCGAATTGGCCACTGTCAACGTTGTCCTGCCGCACTCGTGTGTAATGATTTGTGCCAGTTTTTCCAGCTTTTCCAGCTTTTCGCGCCTTTTCCCAGCCCCAGCTCCAGCGACCAACAACCTCGGCAGCCCAACGGGCTTATGTCATACAATTAATAAAAGTTTTTATGCCCGCGGAAAAAATAAAGGAAATAATGAGCAAGGCTACAAGCATTTTGTCACACGTTGACCTTAATTACTTGCCACTTTTTACGGGGCCATTAGGTTCCGAATTTAAAGAGCTCTAATGGCGCATATTAAAGTGCTAAATTATGATTGATGGCATCGTTTTGGTTTAAAATTAACAAGTGCAGATAGTTGCCAATCATTCAAATGATTTAAGTGCCCTTAAAGATAGTATAATAATATAATATTATTATATCTAGTTATTTCAGGCTGAAGTTGAACATTTTATAATTTATAGAAAATGAACTCTTTACTGTCCAATAAATTGTAATGATACCTCACCAATTTGACTATCAGCCTTTTTCCGTAGCAAATACCTTTTTGATTTCATAATCCGCTTCAAAACGCATCGGTGACCCAAAATATTTGTAATAATCAAGCGAATGTTTTTAACCTTTTACCTCGCCCATCTC